CAGCAGGGAGCGGTGCAGCAGTCGCAGGCGTGAGGCAGATTGGTGGTCTCAGCGTGTTTCCCAGCGTTCTGATACACATTATACACACAAGGGGTATATAATCCATTTTGCTTAGAATGTAAGAAAACAGCAAAATACAGGCTGCTCCTGGCAAAGCCATTCCGAATGATAATTTTTCCTTTCTTCCTTTCACCAACGCTACTGACTTTACGCATAAAATTTTTCAGTATAGTAATACAGAAGCATTATTATAGTTGTTGACCAAGTAAAACAGACTCATGGTGCTCATGAATTTAATGGGGATGGTGATTGTTTTCTACCTCCTCTGAAAGATCAAAAAATTAGCAAATCTCCCCTTAAGCACTGTTCACCTTAAATTTTCCTTGGCTGCATTTTATCCCACTGTGCCTAGTCATATATTCGTGTATTATCTTGAAGGAGTTTTTTCCTTTCTCAACGTGTTTATCCTTCAAATACTTGTAGATGCTTGCATACTCCCTCTAGCCATTACTGAGTCCCACTATAGTTATTTTCTTCTTTTAGTCTTTCCTACTGCATTCCTATGTTCAGCCCATACGGAGTTGGACTATTATTCCAGCAGTCTGAAAGGAATACATACAGTGATATTGAGAAACTAATGTATTTTAAATCTGCCTATAGTGAACAGGGCTATAAGTTACCGCTATATTTACACAACTATCTTCCTCTATATTAATGTGCAGTTGAGATTAATCAAATTATTTTGTATGACTAAGTTACTTTATATTTTTTTTTCAGTGTCACACAAACTATATTCCTGTTTGTGGATCAAATGGAGACACTTACCAAAACGAATGCTTCCTCAGGAGAGCTGCTTGCAAGCATCAGAGAGAGATAACAGTGGTATCAAGAGGACCTTGTTATTCTGGTATGTAAAACATTGCTTTGTGTCACTAATGGATGATGTTGTATGTTTAGCTCTTAGTTGTATGTTTTGCCCCTAATTCCAGAGATTTCAATTTTCCTGCTTTTCCTAGAATGACATATTTCCTAGAATGATAAGGTGGAAATCCCAAGTCCTCTTTAGTGATGGAATATAGTTACAGAGAAGAAATCTGATATGCTAACAGGTTAATAAATAAACACTAAAAGTAGAAATACTTTATCTGAGAAAGGAGTTTGTGAATGCTTCTGTGGTATGTATAGAGGAGCCTTGATATTCACCAAAAGGCTTACAACAAGTTTGGAGCAGACTCCAGATTAGTCATTTCTTTAGGACTCATCTTTTGGATGTACAGAATTAGTGTGACATCCAGCAAGTGACACTGATCATCCTGACTGCCACTCTGCCTGTATCCAAGGCATCATTGTTGACTAATTTCACTGGGGTTCTTTACACTGAAGGCATGCATAACTCTTAAAAAATCGTTGCACCTCACGTTTCTAATGGACTGCCCTTTTCTGTCTTTCCACATGTCTAAAACATAGGTTTTCCACACACTTAAAATACGTGGCACAGGTTTTCACTGTCTCGAATATTGATGAGATACATCCAACATGCTCTTGGACACAGAAACTTTAGCCACCAGAGGTTTGCTGAACCTCTGGACAGATTCAAAAGACACATTGCTGGCTTCCTCAGAATTAGATTAAATGACTCAGTAGCATCAACAACTGCATTCTTTGATACATAAATAACACACACAAAAATTTAAGTTGTGGGACATCCTTCATCTTTTGATACAGAATAGTTACCAGGATTAGCCTAAGCAGTATGGTGGTCAAAAGCACGATGACAGACCAGGTGCACACTCCTAGCTAGCTTTACGTTGTCTAGTCTAGTTATCAGTGACAATTCAGAGGTAGCAGCCTGGAACACCCTGGTAGCTGCAACATCCTAGCTGGAAATTAGGGTAACTATTTGGGCAGCATACCTAGGCCAAGTTCCTTGCTGCTGCTGCCAGTCCCAGAGCTGCCTCATTGAAACGCAGCTTGGCTGTGTTTTACACGGGCTGCTCTAATGCCTTTGACTGCAGCACAGACCGATGCCGAGATTTGGGGTTGTTTACCAAAGCCCAAGACGATCTATGATGTTGGTCCTAGAACTGGAGGAAACCTGTGTTTTATGCCCGGCTCAGCCCCGTAATTCCAGCATACCTCAGACAGAAGACTGAAACTACCTTCTTTCTCCATCTCCCACGTGTAAATTATCTCCAGAAGCTGCAGAAATAGGAAAAAAATGCATTACAGTTTTGGAGCGCTTGCATATTCCTGTAACAACACCCAAGAAGTATGAAGGTTTGAACTGAGGATGTATAAGTAAATATTTTTTTAATTTCATGCCCAAATTGTTTTAAGAAACAGACTCACAACATGAAAGTTTCTTTCCCTCACTAAAACAAAATACTAGGATAATGTTTTGGGAACAACAAAAAAGGTGATTATATGCGTTCTACCATGCTAAGAAAAAGACATTTCAAAATGAAAAATTGAATTTCTCAGCCTCAGGTTGCTGGCAGCTAATTACTACGTTACTCAGCTAGTAAGGGATTTTTTTTTTAACCTCCCTCTCCTTTTCTTTAAGTCCTACATAAAACTGAGGAAACGCAGCATAATTTTTAGCACTTAGTGTAATAGATCAAGTCGTGCTGAGACACAGTTGACCAGAAGGCACTGAGAACACATTTCCAAAACTGAGGAAGCAATTCAGGCCATACTGCATCTACACTGGTGCAATTTAAAGCGCTTCAGCGGGGCTCTACCAGAACGGTACCTGCGACCCCGAGTGTCCAACATGCTCTGCCCGTCGAAAAAATAATGGATGATACAAGCCATCCTCTGGAACCTGTTTGTGCCCTGGACATTGAGAAGTCAATGTATTTGTACTTATGATCTATAACACATATATGTTGAGAATCAAGTGCCCAAATTAAAAAATCCTTTACAGACCCCCATTCATGTTCACTGAGCGCTTCCAAATTTTCTATGAAAATGCTTTGCTCTGGGACATCATTGGGAGCTAAATACAGATTTGATGGTCTCCTAGCAGAGTTTCAGTTTTTCAAAGCTTCATTCTCACGGCTCACACCTGAGAAAATAGGGTGACATTCACCCATAGTGTTGTAACAACCTTTTAATATTTAAAGTACATCAGACTTCTGAATCTCATACAAGAATTAAATATTTCGTGTTTGCTAGGGATTGATACCTTTTGAAGCTATGGCACTGCAACAGACTACTGAGTAATTTAATCAGACCTATTTCTTGGCGGGTTTTGATTAAATTTTTACAGTCATGGGTGATTTAACAGCAAAATTCCCTTTGTCCGAGTGCTATCAGGGTTGCAAGATCCTAAAATAAGCGACATTTCAAAAAAGAGTCAATCATAGGTGCTTCAGGATTGAACAAAATGCAAATTTTGACATTAAAAATGGCGTTTTAGAGAAAGGTAAGAGAATGTATGGCTGAAGTTTTCAGGACTGCATATACAGGTCTTAACGTTGTCAAAACCCATTTTCCAATGAAGGAACATTGTTCCTTCTGTTCAAAATGCTGGGTTTACAGAGGTGTTTCTATGCCTAATTACCCCTGGCACAAGCTGTGGATGACAAGAGTCTGTGGGTTTCAGCCAATGCGTTTAGCCCCACGTTGCAAAATACAGAGAAACTACGAAAATGAGTGAAATGCAGCTTTAGTGTTCTCTGTGCCTAATACCTTAGCAGACCTTTGAGAAACGATGGGTCTAATCAAACTATATAGAATTTTTGCCTACACCTAACCTGGCCTTTTGCATTCAGAAAGAAGCAGCCATCCTGTCTGCGACTGGGTGGAGGCAAACAGGGCTGCGAAGCGAAGTCTTTGCCGGTAGTTAATTCCCATCTCCCCTCCACAGCTTCTCCTCCTTGCTCTGTGGATTATGTTATGAATAAGGTCAGAGCACCGTCCCAGCCTTTTCCTTTTGTTTTTTATTTCTCACCCTTATCAGTTCCCTGTTTGCAGTTCAGCCCACAGCCAAATGCAGAGATGGGACCATCCGACAGGGCATGGGGAGATGGCAATACCTACACCAGGACTCCTGCCAAGCTCTCAACATCAGCGGTCTTGCTGCGGACCTGAAACCTTGATCAGTTCATAAAGGGTCACGTTACACTGAAATTCATTCATGGTATGCCATCCTCTATTGGAGGTTATCCTGAACTGGCTTGCTAAACATTTAAGAAACCAGGAAGAGAAGGTGGTCAGGATGCTCAGAGTATTGAGGAGGAGCATCGCCCAAGTCCCTTCATTTCTTCTGTGCCTTTTTGTTGGTGAATTTATTGCCTTTTATTAGTTTAAATAAAATAAATTAATTTAGTAAATAAGAAATAGACCTTCATGATTCATTTCTAAGAATGACACAGCCACGATTTTGACTGTTGTTGGATTTACATTATATGCACATGAAATGTATCCACATAATGATGTAGTACTTGATATATTATACTTATAGATTCTCAGTGTATTGTATGTATTTGGAAGGCACAATCCTTTTGGAAGAACTTTTGGAAGGGTCACTTTTTGGAGAACCACAGTGCTTTTTCTAGTGGGATTTCGAAATTAAAAAAAAAATTAAAAAAATTAAAAAAAAATTAAAAAAAAAAAAAAAAAACTGTTTGCAGAAGCAGAAACAAACACTGTAGCTCTGGTAGATTTAAGGAATGATTCTCTGAAGAGTAGCTTTAACTTGATGTTCTTCAGTCTGAAGTAATCGAACTCTTACCCTGAATTTGAATGCACTGGTTTTTACAGTAAATGTGGGGTTGTTTTGTTTCTTTTTTTTTTGTGGGAGGCTCTCAGTGAAGCATAATTAGAGGCATACATTGTCCTGAAAAGAAATATAATAAACTCATTTTAATCCTTTTGAGGGAGTTAAGGAAGAAATTCTAGGCAACTCACTCCTAGATTAAGAAAGTGTGAAAATAACTCTTTATGCTCTCACAAGAAAGCCATAACAAACCTGAAAACCTACTATAAAAAATACATTCATTCTGAGAGCTGACAGAGACCCTTACTCCCAGATTCAGCGCAGTGCAGGAGCTTGCCTGTCCAGCCTGCAAGGAGGGTTTGTGACAGCACAGCGTCACCCTTCCGTCATGACAAAATGTTTTGGAAGCAAAGAACAAGGCATACACAGACATACCTCATCAACACATGGCAGGATTTCATATCCCGTACTTTTTTTATTTTTTGCATGGCATAATTAAGCAGGAAACGGCTACCAGGATGATGCAATAGCAAAGGTCTTTTCCCAGAAGACATCAAGGCAAATGGACATTCCCTACGCACAGCCCGGCAAGGTGGAGGTTAAAAGCCTATCTCCAGCAGCCGGAGGCCTTGCAGCTGCTGGCAATTAGGCTTGTCAGCATTCCTTCCCAAAAGCTCCTGCTGGCATATCGAAATCAAGGGTAATTGCTAGCAGGCAGCCCTCCTGCTCCCGGAGCGCGGGGTGGCTGCGCTGGCGTACGCCTTCACAAGCTGCTTTTGTGCGGCAGCGGCAGCGCCGCTCTGCCGCCGGCACCGGGAAGCTGGAGCTTGTTTTGGCCTCTGCGCGGGCTGGTGGCTGGAAGCGGGCTGTGCTGGTTTCAGGTCTCTTCCAAAGCACCTGGCTGTTTGCGCTGCCGGTGGGAGATTTGGGGGTCCGTGCTGCCACCGGAGCCCCGCACCGCGCTGAGGAACAAGCGAAAGTTAAAAGCTCTCACGGAGCAATGCAGTAGCGCTCTCTTTGCCACGTCTGGTGCTAACTGTAGGTCAGGATGGTCTTCTTTGGTAGCCTATATACTTACCTCATGTAAATGAGTTGTACTGCTTGGATTTCCTTAATGAAACAATACTGCATCATAAGGCATAATTCTCAGTGACTCAATGGTGCCATTTTATATGGGATTGTCTCCTTTGTCAGTAAAGTGGGTCACTATTGATGGAACAAGAGCCCTTCTGTTTTTGCATTAAATTCTGTTAGGTTAGTAGCTCGGTCTATTAGACATGGAATAGTGGTATAGGAGGAAAGAAAGGAAAATTTAGGCAGAGGAAAAAAACCTCTTTATTCCTGATACTCCATGTGACAGGAGATTATTTTTAATATGTGAACTGACCCAGTAATGTGGAATTTCGCACTTTCATCCACGCATTAGAGGGAATTATTCTTAGAAATATAACTGCTTAAAGAAAAAGGAGGGGAGGAAACCGAGCAAATGGAGGGTTTGGTTTTTTCTCCGATGTGAATGAGCTTATACATGGAAGTAAGAACCCCGCTCTTCTCTCTCTCTCTGGTGTCCTTCTTCTTTCAGATTTGTGGAAATAGATTCAGCTGCCTTCTCCATCACCAAAGCATCATGAAAGGAGAGGTGTGGGATGAGCAGAGCGTGTGCTCTGCTCCTCTCCTCATCTTCCAGAGGAGCTGAGCTAGCGGGGATGGGGAGCAATTCACTGACAGTAATTGCCATCCCATCCTCTCCTCTCCACCTCCTTTGAGCAAGAAAGACCGAGGGGGGTTTCTGACTCAGAGTGTGTGTTTAAGGGCTTGTCTTTACTGCCGTGCTAGCCGCGGACGCTGCCCGGCGGGGTGCACATCCCCGTACAAAATCCCTAGCCAGCTCCGTAATGCTCTGGGGTGGAGTTAGTTGGCCTGGGGTTTTGAGGAAGCTCAAGTCCTGCTGACGCTCGGACTGCTAATGCAAAAGGGATGCAGCCACAAGCTGTCACCCCTCAGATGCTAATCCAGTCAGTCTAATGTCAATGAAATAACTATGCCATTAGAGCATCCTTACCCGAAGTGATTGACTCGGCTGAGAGGAGCTATTTTGTAGTTGGATGACTTAAGCCAACTTTACTTTGAGGACCAGTTGTCTTCTGGAGGTACTTCTGCAGTCAGGTGATTTATACATTACTCTTTCATGTACCACTCCCAGGGCCAGAGGGTAAAAAATATAAATATTACAAAAATCAGACTCTACGCTTCATCTGATTTGGGTTTAACAAATTTCAACCTCCAACAGTTGAAAAAAGGCTAAGAAAGCAATTTTAGTTTTCAGTACTGAATGGTGCTGTTCCTTGAGTAAAAGTATCTTTTCAGGGGAGAGAGAGGGTAGGGCACACTAAGCATGGGCAAAGCGTATTAAAGGATGCCAGACTTTACGTGGGATGTTTGTTTTTACACCTGGCTCATGAAATGTAACACCTGTGTAACATTTTACAGCGGCAATTTCCTGAACAGCTGCTCCTGGAGCAATATTTTCATTTGCTTTCTTTTTTTTTTCTCCCCTTCTGTTTCTTTTTCAGATAATGGCTCTGGGTCAGGAGAAGGAGGTGAGTACCAAACCCTGGTCACACTTGCTTTTGGTCTTTCTTTTTTACTATATGTGTGTCAGTTTTATGTACATGCTTGCTGTATACCACATGAATTAAGAAAAAATTACAACAACTTAAAAATAAGCTTTAACAGTGCAGTTTTGTCTGACCATCTCAGAACAGTATTTGTATAGCAATAGGTTGTAGTCTGCATTTGACCAATGTTGTTCTTTCAGATTAGACCTGTATCATTTTTCATTTGTTGCCAGAAATATAGTGTAATATTTAGATCCCTGTTTCACCTGTATTTTGCTCCTGGAAATGTCCATTCACAATACATTTCTTACCTTTTTTTTCCTTGCATTCTTTTCTTAGTCTCTACAATGTCTAGTTATTACTTTATCCTTGGTCAAACATGTTGCCTAAAATATATAATGATTATAGTATGATACCTGGTTTTACCAAAAATTTTACATGTTTCTGTTCAAAGCTGTATATTCAAAGAAGGGGTGCAGCACAGCTAGAATTAGTAGAAGTGTCCCTATCTTTGAAGACAGATTAACCTCCTTCCAAGGATTAAAAAAAAAAAAAAAAATTATCTTTGGTGCTACTAGCAAGAATACATATAGAATGAAAAATATGAGATATAGATATTTACAGACACAGGAAAAGCCATTTTGCTTTTGGGCTTTGCTTGTATTAAGAAAGTGTTGCAGTTCATACTTGATAGGCTGGAGTTTTGAAATGCCAGAAATCTTGTATAGCTGCATGAAAATGTGCTTTTGTGGAAAATGATCTGTGGCATCACTGTGTGGCTAAACATAACAGTTAACTAACATTAAATGTAACAGATAACTTTCCAAAAAATCAGGATCTAGCTCCCTCTTTTTTCAGGTATCGAGTGAAAGGAAGGCATTTCCCTCCCCTTTAATAGGATGCTATCAGTAAATTCCTGGGCTGCTGCTAGCACATGGCCATTCTCACCTTTGTTTCCTTTGGGAGCAGTGTCTGAAGGAACAATTTTCTGCTCAAACACTGCCTCTTGTTACCTTCACTGGTGACTATTTTTTTAAAGCTCTTCTTCCTGAGATTGCCTCACGCTCTTTTCAGCAGAAGCTCTGTTTGCTTCGCCTTCCCCCTTTGTTACCCAGCCTGTTATTCTGCTACAGCTGCTCCCTGCAAGCCAAGCGTTGCTTGCCTCCGTGCCGCTAAGTACTCCTTATAGGAGACAGATGACAGTCCACATTCAACTTTTATTTTTGGAACAGTTTTAGAAAAGTTTGAATGCTGTTGGGATTTTTATTTTTTCAGTATTTCCCAATCAGATACAAAAGTCCCCATTAAAGTCCCTTGTAAATGTTACTGTGTTGGTCTGGAAGAGATTGGCAGCCAACTGACAGATGTGGGGATTCTCTGGGTAATTTTATGAACACTTTGGAGAAAAGCAGGACAGAACATGCAGTGTTTTGTTGATGAGGCTGCCCACTGAGGAGGTGAAATGTCCGAGTTCAAATGTACTCGTTGCTTGATTTAGGGCAGGAGACTGAACCAGGTCCACTGTCTCTTGGTAAGAGAGGTCCAAAATGAGTCTCCTTTGGTCACTGCTCTTGTGGTCATTCTCACTTGAAATATTCATTGAGCCTGGGACAAAGGGAGCGGGAGGAAGGTGACCGCCTGGAAGTTGGGAGGATGCATGCTATAGAAAGGCTTTGTTATCTGGGACTCAGCGTGCCAGTGAACTTTAATTATTTATGCAAAATAGAATGGCATCAGCTGAGGAGATACGGTGGTCCCTCCACGCTACCTTGCAGCAGTGGTTAGTAGTTAGTGTCTTGGGAGGTGGAATACATAGGTTCGGTTCACTTCAGGCAGAAAGAATTGAATCTGGGTCCCTTGGCCCCAGGTGAGTATCTGCACAGCCTGGGTATGGAATAAAGAAGGGACAACATACCCACTACCTCCTCCAGCAGTGTTGTGATGTTAGCCACATTTGGCTTTCTTCGGAGTACCTTGTGGCCAACTGAAGTGTTCCCGCTTCTGCCAAGTATGCAAACAGTCAGTTTTAGTTCTTAATTTTAGATAGAAAAAAATATTTTAAACAACCAAAAATTGAAAATCCTGCTTGGCACTTCTTCTTTTTCTGGATACATCTAGACTATTTGTGACACACTGAATTTGTACTGTCCTCATCCACCTTCCTCACTAAACTGGGTGTTGCGTAATACCTCTGTAGAACAACTGGCTAGTCTTCAGCATGTTGAGTCATTTTCTGTGTCTGAAAGCAATCCTCCAAAGGACAGAATCAACTGTTGCTTTGATTACCAAACTCTGCTCTGGCCAAAAACTCAAGGGTATTTTTGTACTCACAATATTTTTGTATCTGGAATTGTTTTTGTTCCATTATTCAAGTAACTGTAAAAGTGAGGAGACATTAAAACCATCGAAGACACACTACAAGTTAAGGGAATTTAGAATTAAAACCAAACTTCTAAAAGAATGCTGAACCTCTTGAGGATGGAGGTGCATTGTTCGGGGTCCAGACAAGGAAGCAGGGCAGAAACCAGGCAGAGCATGATCTGCAGGGTAGGGGTGCTCCCTGGTGCATACCACAATCCTGCCTCCCTGGTTATTCCAGCTATGGGACTGACTGGAGCACAGCACAGCTCTTTCCTGGGCCAGCTTTCCCCATTTTCTTCTGGAGGAAGCCGGGACATGCTGAGATACAATAATCGTCCAGGCCTGGTAGCCTGATACCATACTCTTGGCTAAGGGTACACAAATGGGTACCAAGTTGCATGAGGAGCTTCTGTGCCCTGTGGGTTAGGTACAGCTGCTGCTTGTAAGGACAAGGAAGCAGCAATGGAAGTGGAAAAATGGAAGTGGAAAAATAAGCAATGGAAGTGGAAAAATAAGTGAGAGAGAACCAGCAAGTGAGCAGATGTGCTAGCTTAGAGATTTCTGTTTTCTTCCTAGGATTTACATTTCCAGATGTTAATCACAGAATCAGTGTTTGCTGTGTTTCTTAAACACACAATTAGTGTGATTGTGTATGCACCAGTGATGCTTGCACACAAGGAATGGATGAGTGCAGCTGCTCGTACGTGTTCAGGGAGCATTGCAATTGCTGTGCAGGAGACGTACTGTTTTCTGGTAGATTTGTAACTGTGAAGGAAAGTACTGGGAAAGCATCTGAGTTGTGCTCTTCAGTTGCTATAGCTCTGCCCGTGACAGTCTCCACTGCTGAAATTAGCTGCTTGCCCCACGTGCAGCTGAGATTTGAGCTAGTGGTTCGCATTGTTCTCTTTCATTTTCTAGATGCAGAACAAGCTCATTAATGATTCTGAAACTTGACTTAATGCAAATTTTCCCTCCTACTCCTAAACTGTATGATGTTGAATGCATTCATTTTTTGTAAAAAAAAAAAAAAAGTAGATTTAGAACCAATTGAAAAAAACCACAAAAGTCCTCTTCCTCAAAGACTATTTCAGGCAACATCCTGCCTTAGAAATTGTGATGTGCTGCAAAAATGCTAAAGATCATGGAACTACTGATCCAGGTTCTTTCCCAAATTATGTTTACTGTTACAAATATACTAGATTTTAGGAAAAGAATTAAGACTGGGAGAATTTTTGCAGTATGCTTGAATGAGATGAAGGAGTGTAATTTTTAGGGATGACACAATTGTCAAGTTGCCCTCTGACATTCTAGATAAGCAATTTCCATTTTCTATGCTCTGATGGCACAGTGTTAATAAAGAGTTGTAATAATATGACTCATTTTGCTCATTTCAGAAGTCTGAACCTTCAATTAGAATAATAAAAATTACACTTGTGAAACCAAGCTGTTGATCACTTGTGGCAATGGGTATCTTGAAGCCACTTCTAAGAAGAGTATGGATTGTTAATTCAGAAATTAGAGAAATTCCAAAAACCTCATTACTCTACCATTATGTTTCACCGCTACAGAAAGCAATGTCAGAGAGTGGGACTCAGACCTAAAAGAGTTGCTTAGTTGAGGTCACAGCTGAAGATGGTGGGATCCTTTAGATTTGCATTTAAGACATGGGCTTCTCTTTCTAATCTCATGAATCGTTCTACAATTTCCCTGTTCTGAAGAATACAGTCATAGAACTGGCTTCTGATCCACTTTGTTTAAACAGTGGTTTGTAGAGTTTGAGGCAGAACTGGTGAAAGAGAAGTTACAGGCTCAGATTCATGTTCATCTCTGCCAGTTGTAAATTGCAACACTATTTGACCTGCTGGATGTATTTCCACAACTGTTAGATTGGGGCATGAAAAATGATCCTCAGGCTGTCATGTGTACATAAAGGAGGTAGGTTGCTAGCTTGGATGAAACATTTTCTTTTTTTCTAATAAGAATTTAAAATGTTTTATTTCTGGTGGAACCTGCCAAGTTCTCCCTGTAAAAAGAACTGTGCTGACCCGATAAAGTAGCCTCAGGAAGATTAACTTTGGTAGGTTTATATGAATGTGACTAAGGATGAGCCTTTACAATTTTTTTCTTTAAGGTGCTTTTTATGTGCAAACAGGTTTTTTTCCCTTGAATTTACAACTTGATAGCCAAGAAGGTCTAAAAAGAAGCAGTCATCTTAGTGATCTTCTTGCCCTCTTATTCTAAAAAGAGCTGGCACTCGGAATTCCTAGTGAGGTAGTTCTATCGTTTAGCTGAAGTAGCCTTCATGTTCAGAAGACCTCAGTCTTGTGTTAATGCCATTGTCCCTGTCAATATTCTAGAAAAGTTCCAAGCACGACATCGCCCAACTAGTAGTGAGACAACTGAAAGGGCAATCGGAGCCATTGGTCTAAATTCCACTCAGATTTATAATCGCATCCTACGTTATTAGAAGAAATTTTGGCCCACTGCAGATGGGGACACTGATTCTTAACGGAAAGCTTTTTGAAGATGAAGCCGATTCCTTTTTTTTCGGTCAAAGGTTTTGGTGACAAGGATAATTTGCTTTCATCTGGCAGTAGTCCTTATTGGTAAGGCTTTTTTTT